GGGAGAGAGGGGGAACCTGGTGGCTGCCTATAAGTATATAAGGGGTGTACATCAGGATCTGGGGGAACGCCTGTTCACTATAGCACCCCATGGGATGACAAGGTTAAACAGTCACAAATTCATCCAAGACCATTTCAGGCTGGACATACGGAATAACTTCTTTACTATCTGAGCCTCCGAGGCCAGGAACAAACTGCCTCCAGAGGTATAGGTGCCTCCAAGCATCTATTCTGGACTCCTTTAAGAGTCAATTGGATGCTTATCTTGCTGGGATCCTGTGACCCCAGGTGGCTTCCTGCCCCAATGTCTATGACATCTGTGAAACTAGAAATACAAGGAATAGAACCTCAGTTGGTGCAAACCCAGCTGGTGCAAACCAGCTTCAATGGAGCTATGGGTGAATCTCTCCCATAACTGCAAAGGTGATGAGTTACTTTGCTATGATCACCTTGGCAAGGAATATTTCATTTATTGATTACATTTGGTACAGGTCATCATTCTGAGTGGTATCTGTGCTTTAACATTGGAATGTAGGTCATGGAAGTTAACCCAGAAGTGAGGAACTGTTACAGGGCTAATACCATTCTGACTCTTTGCCCGGAAGAGACAGGCATTTCACACAATTGTAACCCGGGAGGTACTCCAAGAGGTACCCCCTCTCCAATTGAAGGGATCAAAGCGGGTGCACAAGCGCTGTGGGAGGTGTAGGGACTCTCCTCCCCCTATAGAGCAGAGCCAGACCACCAATGGGGACTTAACCATATACCTTTTAATGAGGGAACAATACTGGGAACATAACAGGCATAAATCAGGGGGTATATGGGACACTACAGTGCCCCAAGGTGGCAGGATTCAACGAAGGTTAGACACTTACAATCATTGACAAAAGACAGGGTTAACAAAATATAAAAACACAAACAGCAGAGCAAACAATACTGGTTGGGGAAATATAAAAAGTCACAAAATACAAAATGTCAAATGACAAGGAAATACAGGGCCTAGGTACCTGGACGGGGAGAAAGGGGGAAAGCACAATGGCCCCCCTTTCCACTGCAAGAAGATTTGCTTCTTGTTAGCTCACTCACCCCAAGTCACCCCAGCTGGGACTTGAATTTGGATCTCTCACATGGTAGGCAGAAACACTGCTACACAGCCACCACCGGTAGCACTGCTCCAAGCTGCTAGGGGTCTTGACCTTCCCGGAGCCCCGGCCTCACGTCAAGATGCCTGGCCTCTGATTGGAGGAGCTGGAAGTTGAGCTGGGAACCTCTCAGGTCGCTGCTCAGATCCTTGCTGGAGCGGGGGAGCCTTTCCTGCTGGCCACAGCCTCTCGTAGGGGATCCTGGAGCCCAGCAGGAAGCCTCTCTCACCATGCTGCTGAGGGTC